CAGCTATCTCCTCAGGAAATAGCAGAATTTGTTACAAAGGAGATTACTTGGAGTATTCAATTTCATTGTAGAAAAGGTAGGGGTGATAACATACGGTTTTTGTATAACATAGGCATACAACACTTGGCAAATTAAGTAATAGCATTCTGTTATAGGGGACTGTTTGTACATACTTTGGAAAGAGCAATACAAGTTCACTGTTTTACCCAAAAAAAACTTAATTATTATCCTTAAATTCAAAATTAATTATTTTATTTTACAAACTAAAATGTGAACAAGTCTTGCTGATCAAATTCTTCCAGATGAGTTTGTGATGATATGTTTTTCATAAGTAGCCCAGTGCAATTAAAATATTACTCAGTTTCTTGACTCTAAGTTAGCTCATGGGCTTGATTTTATCATGAACCAAGTATTCCTTCAGTTCTAAAAATAATAATGGTTCACGTTTAGTTTTATGATTTGTAGTTTAAAAATATAACTAATAGATATATTCAAGTTCTAACAAACTTCAAAGAGATTTCCAATAGATTTCATTGGACTGAAGGAAAGAAAATGAGAAATGATGAATTCCGGAAGTTTGCCAATCCTATCAACTTGAAATGCATCGGTGCCATAATCACAGCTCTTTTTGAGCTTCTGAGAATCAGATATAGCCCTCGAGTCTTCCATCAAAAGTCCCAACCTTTTGATTTCATAATTTGAATATTGATGATGATGAATATGGTGAAACTACTCCTAAGAGCAAGGTCAATAATTGAACCAAAATAGGGAATCTCTCAGTGCCACGTCATTGGGCCACTGCACTATAACCTCATCTATTATTTTTTCGACCGGTTGAACCAATCAAAAATGGATCCCATGTTAACTTTTTGTTTTTTCACTCAGGCACAGGACTCTTTTACTTCCTATATTTGTTTTCAAAAAAAAAAAGAATATTCTTGTATTGCAACTTATCAATTTAGAAAACAGAATCATCTGTTCTCCTAGACATGATCATGCCTAAAAGAAAATTATGCCAAAAATTTTCAGCAAATCAAATATGATTTTACACGTGATCACGCTTAGCGAAATTTTTTTGACTAAAATAAAACACTAAACACAATTCAAAAACTAAACTTCAACTAACAAAAATTAATTTAACAAATCAAACCAAGATATAATAAAAGTAATAACTATGCATTTTTTTTTTTTTTGAAAAAATCAAACTACAACTAGCACAATAAAATTATATTAATTTCAATTATAATTTCCTTCGAACCGTTGCCAAATAGGTTCAACCAAATCTGAGCGAAGTTCTTGATGGACATCACGGTCACGAAGTTCTACAGTTTTTTGAAGATAAATTTCAAAATTTTAATGCACACCTAGTGTCAAATTGATTATTGGACTTGCATCATCATCACCAGCAGTCCAATTAATTACCTCATCTCCTTCATCTTTAATTATCATATTATGCAATATGATACATGCATAGATAACATGTTTCAATTTATCTCTACTCCAAAGGTGAGCAGGATTGCGTATAATAGCCCAACGAGCTTGAAGTACACCAAATGCTCGCTCAACATCCTTTCTCGCAGCTTTTTGCATTTGTTTAAACAAACAACATTTATCGTCCATTAGGGCTGTAAAACTCTTCATAAATGTTGCCCACTCAAGATATATACCATCTACTAGATAATATCCTTTATTATATTGTGTGCCGTTCACCATAAATTGAATTGGAGGAGCGTATCCATTCAAGACGTCGTTAAATAATGGAGATTAGTTAAGCACATTGATGTCGGTGTTTGATCCTGCAAGTCCGAAAATGCATGCCATAAGTCTGCGGATGTAACTGCTTCGAGTATTACAGTTGAACATCCTTTATCACCTCGAGTAAATCGACCTTTCCATCCTACTGGACAAGCTCTTCACTGCCAAAGCATACAATCGATGCTCCCAAGCATCCCAGAAAATCCATGCCGCTCTGAGTGCATATGATGCAAATGTTCCACATCACTTGTGTTGGGTTTTCGCAAGTAACGTTCCCCATAAATCTCATTTATGGATCGACAAAAAAATTTTTATGCACTCAATTGCAGTTGATTCGCCAATTCGTAGGTACTCATCAAATGAATCAGCTGGTGATCCAAATGCCAATTGTCGAATAGCAGCTATTGTTTTTTTTGTAGAGGAGAAAGCCTTTTTGCTCCGGCTGCATCTACCCTCCATGTAAAATATTTAGAATGACCTTCAAGATATGAGACAGTTCGAAGAAACAATTCCCTTCTCATTCGGAATCGCCATCGAAATGTGTCTAAAGGATACACTAGATTGTCGGAGAAATAGTCATTGATAGTTCGAACATGACCTTCATATCTTTCTCGATTGATATATCGTTGGTGCTTGCCGAGTTCACCAAAAAAAATAAAGATAAATATTACTAGCTTGGATTATGAATTTTGTAGATAATGGAAGCTAGGTCGATCCCACGAGGACAGCTAATTACCAAATTTGTTGTAAGGAAAAACTGTCAGTCAACAAGATGTCACTCAGGAGAATGAAAATAGTCACTCAGGGAAATAGAGGCCAGGGGTGTTCTTCTCCTCTTCCTACTGTTGTAGTTGTTTTATTAGCACTGTAATGGTTGAGTTCTTGTTCATTCAGCTCACTTATAACTCTAAGTCAGTTCCCATTTTTCCTAGAGTCATCTTTGCAACCTTGACAACCTATTTTCCAATGATTGATTCAGCTACAAAGTCATTAAGTTCTTAGGCCTTCAAGAATTCTTATGTTAACTAAGTATATTTCTATCTTAGTTAAAACCATAGACTGTTACCTCTATGTCATAAGTTAAAGTTGAAACAATCCAAACCAAGTTTATCCTTCCAGATCTCCCTTAGTTCTAGCATGCATTCAATTTAGTGATCAAGTAAATGAATGTAGAAAAACTTTCAACCATAAAACAAGGAACAAAACCAGTGCTTGACAACTACAACATCAGTTGAGGAGAATAACCCCTGGGAACTGTTTAGCTACTCATACAGATTAATGCTACATCTACTACATCGAAAGACATCATAGAAGTATGCATAGTAAACAAAATTCAAGCTAACAGTCAAGAGATGAGGAGAAAGCTTGTGCAGTTACTGAGTCACTCCTGGGAGTGAAGGGGTTCACTCGTGAAACTGAAGAAGAAACTGGGTTGCTATTCTTCAACTTGGCTTCCTCTCTGAGTTGTTGCTACTTCTTCTTCTTTCTTGCCTTCTACCTGGAGTTTTTCTGAGTGTTTTTAGCAACTGAAAAGGGTAACCAGAGATTCAGAGCTCTCCATGTGAGAGTGCAGTTCCCTCCTTTATAGTGCCTTGCAACCGGTGTCTTCATCATGAGAACCTCCCCATGCTTGGAGTTGTTTAATCCTTCCAATGTCTTGAGCCTGCAATCCAACTTGGCCGTTCCTTTTCTCTCTTCCAGCAGTGGCCGTTTTGCTCTCATTGATCAGCAGTGGTGGCTGAGATTGCGGCTGGGGGACAAGCATGCCTCTAGGGGGGGGGCAAGGTCATTAATGACAAGATGTTTCTTGTCTAAGGGCCTTCTTCTTCGTCCAGCTCAGCAACCTTGCCTCAACAGCCCATAAATTGCTCCTTTGGCTTCCAATTTTCAGCAATTATTCGATCCGGTCTTTTCCTAACCATAACATGAAAATGAGCTAAGTAAATTGCATCAATGTTAGGAAATACCCCCAATTGTTCATCAAATACAAAGTTAATTGTGATGCTTTTATGTAACAATTTAGCTATTATCAACTCCCCCAAACTGGAAGAATTGCTTGTCCTCAAGCAAAACACTAAACTCTTGTTGACACTTTCAGAATTGCGCATAACAAAGAGGGAAGACAACATTTTCACAATAACTAACGATTGACTTACTCCCCTGCGTGAGGATTCCTACTCAGGTAAGTGACACTAAACAAGCAACATCCTTAAACACAACTACATTCTAAATTCCCTATGAAGGTTGGTTGTTTGACTCTGGATTGCAGAAAGATTTGGTATCCCACAAGTGTTTGTTCATGCCAAACCTACCAATCCATTCTAAGTTAACCGGTTAAACTTTTGGTGGTCATTCTTGTGATCTGGTCTTGCCCAAGTTACTTGACTCGATTTACCTACTGAGACTTCAATCCTGGAGTTCCTGCGCAGCCTTTATGCTTTATTTATTTATTTATTTTTATTTTTTATTTTTTTGAATGGGATATAAATGGACCAACCTACAGGGGTGTTATTCAACCTTATCTCTCCACTGTCTTATACCTCAACCCTTAGTACTCCAATAGTTTGGAACTTTTTGTGGTGGTTCCTTGCTGTTTCCCCTAAGGTTTCAGTTGATCCCTTCCCTAAAAATATATATATATATATATATATATTTTGAGGAACACGCAGGCTGTGAATGGGTACCACAAAGGAAGTCTCAGATTTACAGCAATTCTCATCTAATTGTAGCTCAGAACTAGACACAGCTCACAACAGTGGATTAGTCATGCCAAATTTTAAGATTTATGTTCTAGGCAGTCACTTCTACGAGTGGCATTGTTCATGTGTGTGAGTGAGTGTCAGCCATTTTTTCTTTCATGCATCAGATTTAGTATCTAAAAGTGATCAAAAAGTGGTTTAGCAAAATTGTTTTTCAAAACCATTATCATCCTAGACTGTTGACAGCTCCTTAGAAGATTTTCATTTTTGAGAGATATTTAGAGATATTTTACAGAGTCAATCTAGACATGAACCTAATGGACCTAAATGGCACTGTCCTGACATTGACCGACCTAACCACAAACTAACTACTACTACATTACTGCCCCAAACTTATTCTAAGCATTGCCCCCAATGCTTAACAACACCAACCCGGCAACAACAATAAACATAAAACAAAGAGTACAGAAGACAACACATGAAACATTGAACAGGAAACAAATAAATTGCTGATTAAGGAAAGCAGAACAGCACTTCCCTGAGTGTTCATTGAGGCATTCCGTGAAGTGGGTGGACTGGCGGATCATGCGGCATTGGGCAGTTTTCAGGGCATCCAATGCACTTGTGCATTTCCTGCAGGAATTTCTCCGTCCTCATCTGGAACTGGTGGACGTAATCCAGGATGAACCTGGTCTGTTTGTTGAAATCCCTCTGCCTCAATTGTCCAGTTGGAGTGGGAGTGGATGTTGTTTGTCCTGCGGATGAGGCACCTGGGGGTTTCTGGTCCAGCTTATGCATCCTTAATGGTTGCTGCAAGTTGCTCTCTGCGTCTGTGTGCAGGAAGGTCACCCCTGCCCTTTTGCATAGCATGGTGACCATAACTGGGAAATACAAGCTCTTCACCTTTGGATCAGTGATACATCGGGTGAGTTGCTCCCGGACAACTGAGACTGCATCAAATGGTGTGTCCGTGACAATGGCATACAGCAGCAGAGCCATCTCGTAGGTGACCTTAGCAGTGTAGGATGTTGGCATCAGATTGCAGCAGATGAAATGGTGCCACAGATTTAAGTTAGGCGTCTGCAACGCGTTTGCTGGAAACCCCAAAGGGTTTTCTTGATCATCCATCTCCCAGCTTGTGCCCTCTTTTGCCAATCTGGACAGAATGGCCTATTCCAGCAGTTGATTTGGATGCAGGGCAGCCAGGGTTTCTCTGTAATCAGTGCTTATTCTTGGTAACTTCCAGATGGCTCTGATGGCCTCTGTGCTGCAATTGACGCTGATGCCTTGGAAACAACCCTTCTTCCTTGGAAACAACCTGGGCTCCCATTCATCTGTGATGGCATTAAGGGCTTGTTCTTGCAGCGCCCTTGGTGGTTGTGGAGGTGGCGGTGGGGTAGGTTCTCTGGCAGGGGATGCTAGTGGAGTGGGTGTTCTTTGCCGTTCAGGAGAGGGCGAGGATGAGGAGGATGATATCCTTCTCCTTGTGTTGGAGGCGTTTTTGCGGGCAGCAGCCTTCCTCCTTGCCGGCGGCATTTGTGACAAACCCTAAGAGTTGTGTTGGTAAAATTGAAAGAGGGGTTTTGTGATTGAATCTGAAAATTGCCTTATGTGCCTGGAAACTCAGAGAAATTGTCAGTATGTTCACACAGGGAAGTGGTGGTTGAAGGAGTAGTTCTGGAAATAAGAAGAAAACGAAGAAGACGAAGCAATGAAGGAGTTGTGAGTTAATGCACAGCAGTTAAAGTTTTTGGAAATCGCGGCTGACTCAAGTGACTCAAAAAGGCGGACGTGGTTAAAATTGAAATTTGAAATTTTTCGGAAAAATTTCCCCCCAAACTTAAACCATAATTACAGCCCAAAAAGGTGACTTTTTGCAGAAAGTGTCGTACAGTTGTTCTTACTCAGGCGAGTGGATTGTTCCACTTGCATGAGTGACGTCAGGGTTAGAAAATTCTTAGGATTCCTTCCCGTAGGTTCACTCAGCTGAGTGACCTTCTTCCCTCCTGGGAGTGAGTTTACCTGAGGCCTTTTATGTTACACCTTCTGAAATCTATTGGGGTGGCAATTTCATTGTCCAATCCTGCAAAAATTAGAGTAGCACATTGTCAGCCATATAAAAGCAAAACGTATGGGTTGCCTCCCATAAAGCGCATTGGTTTTAAGTCTCATGTCAGACTTCAAAAGAAAATTCAGTAAAGTTCCTTCAGGACCAGAACTTGATAGTTCTGTCCCATACTCCTTTCTGTCCATCCAAGGTATGGCTTAAGCCTATGACCATTAACCAAAAAGGTGTTGCCATTTTGTGGATTCATGATCTCTACTGCTCCATGAGTTAGGACCTTGTTGATTTTGTAGGGCCCGGTCCATCTTGACTTCAACTTCCCTGGAAAGAATTTCAGCCTGGAGTTGTACAACAAGACCTCTTGTCCTTCTTGGAAGTTCTTCTTGACAATGTGTTGATCATGGTAAGCTTTAGTTTTCTCTTTATAGACTCTGGACGATTCGTATGCCTCTAGTCTAAATTCTTCCAGTTCATTCAACTGAACCAATCTCAACTCCTTGCTTTTGCCCGGATCAAGATTTAGTTCCTTGATAGCCCAGTAAGCTTTATGTTTCAATTCTACTGGCAAGTGGCATGCTTTCCCATAGACCAATTTGAACGGGGACATACCAATGGGAGTCTTGTATGCTGTCCTATATGCCCATAAAACTTCATCCAGCCTTGAGGACCAATTCTTCCTGGTAGAATCAACAACCTTTTCCAGGATTCTTTTCACTTCCCTGTTTGACACTTCTGCTAGCCCGTTTGATTGTGGATGGTATGGTGTTGATACTTTGTGCCTGATTCCATATTTCTTTACCATGGCTGCAAATGACTTGTTACAGAAGTGTGATCCTTCATCACTGAGTATCATCCTGGGTGTACCAAACCTGGCGAAAATATTTTTCCTTAGAAACCTGAGAACAATTTTAGCACCATTGTTCTTTGCAGCTACAGCTTCTATCCATCTTGAAACGTAGTCCACTGCCAGCAGTATGTAGGAATTCCCAAAGGATGACACGAAGGGACCCATGAAGTCTATTCCCCACACCTCAAACAGTTCCACTTCAAGCACGTTCATTGTGGCATCTCATTTTTCCAGAAATATTTCTGTCCTTTGCACCGGTCATGACTTTTGACAAACTCTCTTGCATCTCGAACAGGTTGGCGATACAGTCCAGCTTGTAGACCCTTGATTGTCGTCCTTTGACCGTTGAAATGTCCACCATAGGGGGAACTGTGGCATTTGTGCAACACCTCTGTGAATTCAGATTCTGGAATGCACCTTCTGATCAATTGGTCTGCACATCTTTTGAATAAGTAGGGTTCATCCCATAGGTAGAGTTGAGCATCGTGCAAGAATCTCTTGCGTTGTTGAGGGGTGAGATCTGGGGGAATAACACCAGCAACAACAAAGTTAGCAAAATCTGCAAACCAAGGCCTGTTACCTGTCACTCTCATGAGTGTGCCTGTCACTCGCCAAAGTGACTCATCAGGGAATTTTTCTGAAATTGGAGTTGTGTCTTGGAATTTCTTCAAGCCTTGACGGATGGTCCGCTACTTGATTCTCAGCACCCTTCTCGTCTCTTATCTCCAAATCAAATTCCTGCAACAACAATACCCATCTAATCAGCCTTGGTTTAGACTCTTTTTTGTTGATCAAGTACCTGATGGCTGCATGGTCGGTATAGACTATGACTCTCATCCCTAGCAAATAAGCTCTGAATTTATCAAATGCAAATACAATTGCCAGCATTTCCTTCTCTGTAGTGGTGTAGTTGACTTGTGCGGAGTTAAGGGTTTTACTAGCATAGTAAACCACATGTAACACCTTGTTCCTTCTTTGTCCAAGTAAAACACCAACTGCAAAATCACTTGCATCACACATTAGTTCAAAAGGTTGTGACCACTCGGGTGTGATGATCACAGGTGCGGTGATGAGTTTGTTTTTCAATTCAGTGAATGCATTTAAACAGGATTCATCAAAAATAAAAGCAGTGTCCTTTTCAAGCAAATTGCACAAAGGTTTAGAAATTTTTGAAAAATCTTTAATGAACCTCCTGTAAAAACCAGCATGGCCTAGGAAACTTCTCACTCCCCTGACTGTGGTTGGTGGGCTCAGCTCAATGACTTCAATCTTTGCCTTATCCACTTCAATTCCTTCCTGTGAGATCTTATGCCCCAAGACAATTCCCTCAGTTACCATAAAATGGCATTTCTCCCAGTTGAGAACCAGGTTGGCCTCTATACATCTTTTCAGTATCAGCCCAAGGTTGTCCAAACATGCGTCAAATGACTTACCAAAGACCGAGAAATCGTCCATAAAGATCTCAATTATGTCTTCCACCATATCAGAGAAAATGGCCATCATACATCTTTGAAAAGTTGCCGGTGCGTTGCACAGTCCAAATGGCATTCTCTTGAAGGCAAATGTGCCATAAGGGCAGGTGAAAGTCGTTTTCTCTTGATCATCAGGGTCTATGGCAATCTGGTTGTAACCTGAGAAACCATCAAGGAAACAATAATACATGAATCCAGCTAATCTGTCCAACATTTGATCAATAAAAGGAAGGGGAAAGTGGTCTTTTCTGGTAGGCTTATTAAGCTTTCTATAGTCCATGCACACTATGAATTGTTCAGCCTTGTAGGGATTAGCTCCTGGAGGTCATTCTTTACTACTGTGATTCCTCCCTTCTTGGGCACGCACTGCACTGGACTCACCCACTTGCTATCAGATATTGGGAAGATAATCCCTGCATCCAGTAGCTTGATAATCTCCTTTTTCACCACTTCCTTCATGACTGGGTTGAGTCTTCTTTGTCCTTCAATGGTTGGCTTGGCATCATCTTCAAGCAGGATTTTGTGCATGCATATGGAGGGGCTGATGCCCTTAATGTCAGCAATTGACCACCCAATGGCTTCCTTGTGCAATCTCAGTACTCTCAGCAATTTGTCCTCTTCAGTACCTGTAAGCATAGAAGAAATGATTACAGGTAAGGTGTTACTTGCTCCAATATAGGCGTACTTCAAATGTGAGGGCAGAGGATTAAGCTTGAGATGAGGTGGTTCTTCAACTGAAGGCTTGAGGCATCTTCCTTCCTCGGTCAGATTTATCAGTTCAAAGGGTTGCTGTTTAGGATGCTACTTGGGGGAGTGGTTCAGGTAGCTCAGGCAAGTGGCCCTGTACTCATCCCCTCCTTCCTTTTCCTCATTATAGTCTGGGTACAACAGTTCCTTGAGGAGATCATCTTGCAGTAATTCTTCCGTCACTGCTTCGTCTGCTTCTACATTTCTTACCATGTAGCAGTCGTGGACTTCAGCGGGATATCTCATATTTTTGAAGATGTTGAAGGTGACCTTCTCCCCATCAAAGTGCAGTGTGATTTCTCCCTTCTTCACCTTAATGATTGCATCGCTTGTTGCCAGAAAAGGTCTCCCCAAGATGGTGGGTACATCCCTGTCTTCTTCCATGTCCAAAACCACAAAATCTGCTGGGTAAATAAAGTTACCAACTTTCACAAGAACATCATGTAAGATTCCTTTTGGGTAAGTTAGAGATCTATCTGCCAACTGCAAGGTCATGTTAGTAGGTACCAGGAATTTGTCCAGGTCAAGGGATTTAAATACAGACAATGGCATGAGATTTATGCTTGCACCAAGATCTAGTAATGCTATAGAAAATTCTCTGATTCCTACAGTGCAAGGAAGAGTGAAACTACCTGGATCCTTCAGCTTAGGTGGTAATTTCCTTAGGATAGCTGCACTACATTCTTCATTTAGAGTGGCAAAAGCAGAGTTATGCAATTGTGGCTTATTTGCCACCAAATCCTTCAAGTACTTGAAGTATTTAGGCATTTGTTTAAGTGCATCAACAAGTGGTACATTAATATGTATACTTTCTAAATTCTGAATAAACCTGTTGAGTCCTTCATCCATTTTTTCTTTCTTCTGTCTTACTGGATATGGTGGCGTCGGAGCTTGCTGTTGTGGTTCCTTAATTGGTGCTGGGAATTGAATTTCTTCCATCCCAGGTTTTTCAGCGGGTTGCTCCTGTTCTACCACGTCATCATTATCAGATAATTGCTCAGAAGAAGTTTCATTCTTACCTGCAGGGTCACTCGCAGGAGTGACTTCTTCACTTGGTTGATTGAGTTGCCTTCCACTTCGGAGAGTGACAGCCTTCGCTTGTTCTTGGTCATTCCCCTTGGGGTTCACAATTGTGTCACTGGGCAGGCTCCCAGATGGTCTTTCAGCATTTTGTTTTGCAATCTGAGCCAACTGATTTTCCAAACTTTTACAAGACACCGCCAAACTCTTGATTGCATTTTGTACAGAAATCCATTCATCTTCCCTTGGTATGTATTGTTGGTTAGAACGTTGCTGATTCTGATAGTTGGGAAGCTGACCATCTTCTCTGTGGAATCCTGGGGGTTGAGCAGGCCTTTGATAGTTTCCTTGTTGTGGAGCATTGTTCCAGTTGGTCTATTGCTGATTTCTCCAATTGTTGAAGTTGTTGAATCCCCTGCATTGCCTGTCGACAAATGGACAGCTTCCATTTTGGAAGGGCAGTCATCCAAACTGTGGGATGCATCACACAATACACATACTTCTGCCTTGGATTTGGACAGCTCACTTCTGAGCTTAGTCATTTCATTCATCATAACAGCCATTTGAGCTTGCAGATGTGTACTGGGATCAAGTTCCATCATCCCCGGCTGTTTTGAATTTGCCCTTGGATCGATTGCCATCTTGAATGGTTGGTGGTCATATTGTCGAGCAAGCTGTCTTGCTGCATCAATCGGCTTCATCATAAATACACCACCAGTGCAGCATCAAGGAGTCTCTTGTAGTTGGTAGCAGACCATTGTAGAAGATGCTCGATTGAAGATGCTCTTCCAAACCATGCCGAGGGCATTTTCGACCATTTCTTTCAATCTTTCCCATGCTTCATAAAGTGTTTCGTTTCATCTTTGCTTGAAGTTCATTATTCTTTGTTACGAGTTGTGTAGCTTTTGCAGTGGAAAGAATTTTGTTAGGAAACACTGCCTTAACTCTTCCCAAGTGGAAATGGAGTTGTTGGGTAATGTGTTGAACCATGCTTGGGCGTGATCCTGCAATGTAAAAGGGAATAGTCTCAGTCTAATATCATCGTTAGATAAGCCTTGAATTTTAAAAGTACTGCATAAACGCAGGAAACTTCAGATGTGATCATTAGGATCTTCATGAGGTAATCCATGGAATGGGCAGGCTGATTGAGTCCATTGGATCATCTGTGGCTTGAGCTCAAAATTGGTTGCTTCTACATCAGGGAACACTAGAGGAGATTGGACTTCTTCTTGCTGTGGGATGAAGAAATCTCTAAGCAGTCTTTCTGGTCGATTTTGTTGATCCCCACCAGGGTTCCTATTGTTCTCCGGATTGCCACCTTGATTAGCCATTTCAGATGAACCTTCCTGGTTGTCCTGTTGCAACCGGTTCTGCCTTCTTCTTGCCGCTCTGGTTCTACGGATGGTAGCTTCAATTTCTGGGTCAAAAACAGGTTCACTTCGTTGGTGCCTTCTAGTCATACACCAAAGAAAAGAAACTGGAAGCTTAGTGAGGTAACCAGAGAAGAATTTTATATATATATACACAAACAAAAACAACAAATTTTTGGAGGTTTTACGCCGTCCCCGGCAACGGCGCCACTTTCTGGTGCTTGCCGAGTTCACCAAAAAAAATAAAGATAAATATTACTAGCTTGGATTATGAATTTTGTAGATAATGGAAGCTAGGTCGATCCCACGAGGACAGCTAATTACCAAATTTGTTGTAAGGAAAAACTGTCAGCCAACAAGATGTCACTCAGGAGAATGAAAATAGTCACTCAGGGAAATGGAGGCCAGGGGTGTTCTTCTCCTCTTCCTACTGTTGTAGTTGTTTTATTAGCACTATAATGGTTGAGTTCTTGTTCATTCAGCTCACTTATAACTCTAAGTCAGTTCTCATTTTTCCTAGAGTCATCTTTGCAACCTTGGCAACCTATTTTCCAATATTCAGCTACAAAGTCATTAAGTTCTTAGGCCTTCAAGAATGCTTATGTTAACTAAGTATATTCCTATCTTAGTTAAAACCATAGACTGTTACCTCTATGTCATAAGTTAAAGTTGAAACAATTTAAACCAAGTTTATCCTTCCAGATCTCCCTTAGTTCTAGCATGCATTCAATTTAGTGATCAAGTAAATGAATGTAGAAAAACTTTCAACCATAAAACAAGGAACAAAACCAGTGCTTGACAACTACAACATCAGTTGAGGAGAATAACCCCTGGGAACTGTTTAGCTACTCATACAGATTAATGCTACATCTACTACATCGAAAGACATCATAGAAGTATGCATAGTATACAAAATTCAAGCTAACAGTCAAGAGATGAGGAGAAAGCTTGTGCAGTTTCTGCGTCACTCCTGGGAGTGAAGGGGTTCACTCTTGGAACTGAAGAAGAAACTGGGTTGCTATTCTTCAACTTGGCTTCCTCTCTGAGTTGTTGCTACTTCTTCTTCTTTCTTGCCTTCTACCTGGAGTTTTTCTGAGTGTTTTTAGCAACTGAAAAGGGTAACCAGAGATTCAGAGCTCTCCATGTGAGAGTGCAGTTCCCTCCTTTATAGTGCCTTGCAACCGGTGTCTTCATCATGAGAACCTCCCCATGCTTGGAGTTGTTTAATCCTTCCAATGTCTTGAGCCTGCAATCCAACTTGGCCGTTCCTTTTCTCTCTTCCAGCAGTGGCCGTTTTGCTCTCATTGATTAGCAGTGGTGGCTGAGATTGCGGCTGGGGGACAAGCATGCCTCTAGGGGGAGGCAAGGTCATTAATGACAAGATGCTTCCTGTCTAAGGGCCTTCTTCTTCGTCCAGCTCAGCAACCTTGCCTCAGCAGCCCGTAAATTGCTCCTTTGGCTTCCAATTTTCAGCAATTATTCGATCCGGTCCTTTCCTAACAATAACATGAAAATGAGCTAAGTAAATTGCATCAATGTTAGGAAATACCCCCAATTGTTCATCAAATACAAAGTTAATTGTGATGCTTTTATGTAACAATTTACCTATTATCAATCGCTGAGTACGAGATCTTGAACTTCCAGCTTCATTTTGCTCAAATTGATCTAACAACATCAAGATATGATCATCGGTGTTGTCATTGATCTCGTCTTCCAAAAATTTTGGACTTTGTCTAAAATCGAGGATTCGTAAGGATTTTGGGATATTTTTGCTAGAGTTGGCTATGTTGCTTTTCTGGTGTGGGTGTCTTGCAAAGCTAAGCTTCAATATATAGAAATCGGTTAATGGCTAGTTTTCATTTGCTATTTTTCCAACAACCAAAATTTTTCAGCTTTTATAATATAAAGGCTATTTTTTCAACTGTTATTTTACAACGACTAGTTTTGCAATAATAATTTTATAATGACTAACTTTACTATTTTGTCTTTATTGATATTTGACAATAAATACGTACTCATCTTGCCTGAGAGATTCATAAATATTTGTATAATTAATAAAAGAAATAAATCCAATAATTTATATTATATATATATTTGAGTAATGGCTAGAAATGAATTAGAATGGTGGTAAAAATTACTAAAAGATTTGGACTGATTCTAATATATACAAGGTTCATTGGTTTTTTTAATTATTATTATTTTTAACTTCTTTCTATTTTTTTTTTCTTTTCTAGTTTAGGTTTCTAGACGAATTTGTGTTTGCACGTATAAAATAAAACTACCTACGTGGATTGAAGATGATGATGACTTTGGTTGGCACAAACTCCAAAAGACTAACTGCTTGTTTGGACGTCATCTTATATTTTATTTTGCCACTTAAAAGTGGAAAGTGTTTCAAGTTGAAAACTAAATGGGAAATGAAAATTTTGTTTGGATGGTATTTTGAGCAAAAAGTTGTTTGGATGTTGGTTTTGAAAAAAATATTTTGAACTACATTTTGAAAATATCAAGTACGAGTCATCACTAAACAATTAAATACCGTTAATTATAGTCACTGCAAGAAAGAACTTTTTCAAAAACAATCACTCAGTAACGGAATCCTATCAAATTTGTCACTGAACTATTTGTAGTTCTAAAATGGTCATCACACTAACAAAAAGTCTTTCATGTTAGAATTTAAAATATAAATCAGAAAGTTGTTTGGATAATGTTTTCTTTTTCATTGAGTTCTGTGTTTAAGAGGTAAAATGAGTTAAAATGTAAAATGAGAGCGTGTCCAAACAAAGCCTTTTCAACATTTTCCATATGAAATAAAAAAAAAAAAAAACATGTAATTTCAATAAGTAAAATTCAATAATACACAATAATAACCATACATAAATTAATTTAAGTTACATAACTAAAGGGAAAAAAATCATTAATTCAATACCACATCATAATAAAAATGCGATACTTCAACTACACTAGTCTTTTACGTGCGCGCAACTTATAGAGATTGTTTTTTTTTATGGTTTTAATGAATTTTTATATACTTCATATTCGGCCGAATTTTTTTTGTTACGTAATAGTGCATATGAATGTGATATTTTATTCTTTTTAATTGACTTTTTGGATTTACGAAGTGATTTTTTATCGTGCACTTTTCCCGCTATTTTATCGTGTATTTGAAAATAGTTTTTTGGTAGATATATTTATTGTGAGAGATAGAGAAATCTTTGCATTTGGCGGTGGACGATTGTAAGAGGAGAAAACGAAAATTAAAATAAGGCAGTTCATAAATCAAGTTTTTAGTGGAGGATATGTGATGGTTTTGGCTTGAATAAGAAAATCAAGAGACATTAGCAAGAATAAGTAAATATGGCAGGTTTAATTCTGTAATTGTCAATCTAAGATCTGCTATGTTTCCTAAATTAATTGTCAATTTGATTATTATTAAAATTTAATAATGCTTGTTCTATGGCAAGTTTTTATTATAACCTTACAACCAATTATATTAAATCTTTGAAACTACAACTAATTATTTTAAAGAGGTCCCATATTCGTTTGTTGCACAATCAATTTGTATTTTTAATATATTATATATAAATGTCAATATTGACAAATATTTATAATGAAATGTATTTTGTATTTATTATAATCTCTGAAACTTCAACCTACAAAATGGTAGTTATTGAAATTAAGACCTTAAATGCAAACTATATTTTGTCTAGTATACAATATGCATGGTTCACTTTTTACAAATCAGATTTACATTTGCAAGTGAATCCGCAACAATTACTCATTAAGTATTTTAGTTGGCAACAATTATAATAATTTGCAATATGTTACCCAACTTAGTTCTTTAGAGATTCAGAATGATCATATTTGTTTCCGTCCACCATCTAAGTGAATAGTCAATTAGGGAAAAAATTGCAATTTTCTTTTTCTTGACGCATGTACAAATTAGAAGCTTGACATTATAGTATTATGGTTGTTCCTTGCAAATTTGATAGTCCGCATTTGATAGGAAGCATTTGCCAAAATGTAGTAAGCATTTGCCAAAATGTTGTAAACGAAAAAAGAAAAAAAAAAGAAGAAAAGCATCAAACGAATGCATGGGGAAATGGTGTAGATAAAGGGGAAAAAAAGGAAAAAAAAAAAAGAAACACACACACATACACACAAACACAAAACAAAAAGATGAAATATCAGTCACGGTTTTCCCCTAACTGAGCCTTAGTTCAGATTCACCGCGTCCAAATTCTTGGCCCTGTCAGCATTTCCACGCATGTTTTTTTGTCTGAAGTTCGTTTCTCATCTTCATGGAGCTGCAAGAGCCTTGTCATTTATTTTGGACACGTCTACACTTGGGGATTGTACTTAAAAGCCATTTCCAAAGGATGCCATTGAGAAAATTGCAAAAAGTCGTTAATCATGTACATGCCATTCTGATTCCTTCAAGGCTCAAAAACTCGATCTCAGGCCAGTGGAAACAACATGAAGTTACACTCTAGTGGATTCTGTATTCAAAAGTGCAAAAAAATAAAAATAAAAAATAAAAAAAATCATTGCATTATCAGAGAATTTATAATTTAGTTGCCACAGCTCTCCTATTACAAAGAAACTCCATCCAACTAACACTCGAAACAGAATGTTGCATCTGTCAGACAGACATGCATCTGAAACTGTGACATGCATCACAAATTTTTTGCTGCATCTGAAATTTAAAAAGACATGCGTTTAAGTTCTGAGAACTGCTTAGTATACAATGAAGAAGTCCTTTGACAATGCTAACTAAAGCCAATCGACGTATCCTCCAACTATTTGGAGCATATGGAACACTTTTTTTTTCTTTTTTTCTCCATGTAGCACAAGGAGTTGATCATATGGGAGCAATGATTTCCACGGTTCCAGAAACTGTGATCAAATGAAGTATTTTGCACATGCTCTCTTTGAAAATTCCAATTTTTCCATTTCTCTAGCATCACCGTTGTTACGCAAATTCCATGGTTTTGCATAATTCCAGCCAGAAAGCTCCAACTACTAATCTAATAGTATCCTAGTTTCTGTCCGAGTAATAATCAAATAAAGTATTTCACTATTCTAATAATATCCGAGTAAGATCATAAAACCAATCATATTCAGCCTCCTAGGTTCTGTCTTAGCACCGTATAACCAAAACTGTAATCTAAGGTCATCAATTATCAAAAGGGCAGCATGAACAAGCAAAAGTTATTCCAACTTATTAATTTTCACACTTATAATAGAAAGTCCTACTTTCCACACATAGGTGTAAGGAAAAAACAGACAAGACCAAATGTGCTCCCCACAAGCAAATAAGGTGATGTAAATCCACCATTTGGAAACTGAAATAACCTACTGTTTCCTGTCACAAGTGTTTCTTATTCAGTTGGTTAAGCTACACTTTCAAGCCTCCTGGAAGGAAGCAAGATATTGGGTTGCATACATGCACTTTTCTACTCATGTTGCAATACAGCACTTATTCTGGAGTAAGAGAATCAAGAGCCCCAAATTTCCTATATGACACTGCCCAAATATGAAAAGAACATCGTTACCAGCTGCTACTGAAAATAGTATTTGCTAGGAATGATGATAACTTTATCAATCCTTTAAAACAGTGGACATCAATGCCGTTTAGGACGACTTGTTTAATAAATTGTTTCCGAATATGGTCTTATTGACAATTTTTGGCATTTATTAGGAATAGTTCTCATTCCTTTCAACTGAAACCAAAGAGGAACAAGAATATATGTACTCCAACAGCAATAGCGAAGCCAGAAATAGAATTTATTTAGAAATCAGTACCGCACAAACTGGCTTCCCTTTTCCCTGGCTCGAGCACTTCATCTCTAGCTCATAAACTCTCTGCAATTCATATCATCACCTAACAGAGAATACATGAATAAACGTGTTAATTAATTCATACAAAGAATTGTTGGAATTTTCAGAACCAACGATTATTGGAGCTCAATTAAAACAAACCACAAACCAACACATACACAGACCAAATTAAAAGAAACACACAAGTACACAACATAAAATTCACTAAAAACACAAAAATAAATCCGGAATTAAATGCCCTGAAGCAAATAGTATCCAGAAAAAGTACCATTTGAAACAACGGCATTGTAGACTTCTTCACGAAGGCGGACCTTCTCGATGTCCCCCACATCTGGGTGCTTGAGTAGATACAGCTCAGCCAACGCGAGACGGAGATCTTGATTTCTATCTTTGTTGCAGCATTTTCTCAAATTGCAGGTCTATTGGTTTCATCCAGCAAATATTTTCAAGGATTTGGTTGCTTGAAATGTAGTTGCAGCAAAAGCCAAAATTCTCAAATAGTCCTGAAGGAGCAACAATTTTTTGTGAGGAATAATTGACACTCAAACTCTCAATTTTTTTATCAATAAAATTGGACGATACCTGACATTTACTCGTCCTAAATTGTTGATCACTCAAAACACTCAAATTGGAAACATTCAAAAGGTTCCAATCACTCAAATTTTTCCAACCTATCATACACGTACTTGTGCAACAATATCTAAGCTCATAGCTTATTACCACCAAGTAATTTATTGCATTTCATAAAATTATAGTATGAAGCTCGCTCAAACAAAAGAGAGCTTCAAGACCCTAGATACCAAAACACTCCAAACATACAACAAAATTTAAAGCCAGATGATATTCACCATTAGACTAAATCACATCAAGCGTAAGTTGAATCCCATCAGTTAAAGACCAATTTAAGGATAGCTCACCACTGTATCAGCATCATCAATTCATAGTAATATAGCAATGAGAAATGCTAATTATTTAGTTTAGTTTTTTATGCATCTATTCAGCTTCAATGAGCCCCTTCACCATTCTGACTAATTTACTTGGACACTGAGATTAGAAATAGGTAACATGAGATAAGAAAGCTCAAAGTTTTTCACTACTCAGCTTTAACAAGGTAACAAATTTCACGAGCTTGAGCTCACAAATGCCTTGAAATAGAATCCTAAATCTGTAACATAAGACACCCTTTACATTGAGCCAAACTAAAAGAGACTTAATCTAAAGCCAGAAGTGTCATATAAAAACAATTTCCTGAAACAACAGTTCAGTAAAAATCCAATTAATGGCTCAGAAACTTACTATTCAGACCACCAAACTGAGCAACAGTATCAACAAATCGCTCGTGAAAGTCATTAGTCCAGCGAAGCCTCTGCTTAGAAGCCAGATTGGCTGCGTGGTTATTTCCCAGACATGTACTTTTTCCAAAATTTCAATCGAACACAAACAAAACTAAGAGATCTCTAAGAAGAATTAAAATAAAAAAAAAAAAAAAACCGTTTAAGGAGCTTAATGACAAGCTTCTTTTGTGGCGAGAAGGAGTAGCCTTTTCCGGACCCCAAAGTAGCAGTACCGGAGGCGCGTGACTCCAAGGACGACATCACCGGGATCTTCCTCTTCTAGATCGATCATTGAACCAATTCCCAAGGTAGCTGAGTGGCGGGTGACCATGAGAGGTGAATTCCCCAGCAAAAGAGGCGATTTAATTGCTTTTGTGGTGCTGAACTTGATTATCGATGATTCAGCTTGAGGTGAATAGTTTCTTGAGGTGGTAATTCAGTTGAAAAGACCCGAATAAAAGGTTCCACCAACACATATTTGCGCAAACCCGAGTACTAATAAAAGGTTCCACCAACACATATCCAAGGAACATGATGCGGGATTAGGAAATCTGAATCTCCAGATCGATGATTAAACGGCGGCGGAAGTTCAAATTTTCTGTCTGAATCAAGCTTCTCCCTTGCTAGGATTTTCTTGATTCTTACAGCAACTCAACACCTGGAATTTTCATTAAGGTTGCAGGAACGCTTAACGGGAATTACCGCGAGTCTGTTCGGTTGTTCTTCCTTTATTTTCGGATCTTAAATTGCGAATCACGATTCCATGTGCAAATTGATAGAAGATGAGATTGTGAAGAGAAACGAAGAGATCAGGAAGCAGGTTGGTCAGAAGGAATAAGGAGGGAACAAACCTTGGGCAAGTGCTGTCTTCTGAGCTTTTCGCCGATGGATTTACGACCTCTTTGCTTGGTAAGTGCCTGAATTTTGATGATACTTCTTGAATCGGTGAATTATCATCCACCTCAAAAAATCCATTGCAATGATGGAGCCAACCCTGAAGTTCTTTGATCGAAGAAGAGAAAAAGTACTGAGGGGAGAGCATCGTCGGGAAACCAGCCGCACAAATTAATCCCAAACCTGGAGAGGGCAATGGCGTTTTTATTTAGGTTAGAGGAGGCCCAGGGACGACATCGTTTATTTGGCTGGGCTTTTTTTTTTTTTGAGAAAATCGTAGAAAGGAGGGACGACACCGTTTTTTCTTTTGGGGGGTTTTGTGTCTAAGAAACTTTTTTTAACTTATTTTGATAGGCTGAATTCATGTTTTTACGTTTTTAACCCTAATAAGTCGCTAAGGTCATATCGAGCCCATCCGACGGACCAGATCGATTCGACGGTAGTCCTCGAATATTTCTTGGGCATTATTTCTTGCCTACTGCGCCTTTTATTTAAGTATAAGGATGAGAATAAATAAGTACAAGATCATATTTCTTTTTGAACTTCTCACTAATTTTCTCGTAACGGGCAAATTTTTCTACACTAAATCCTGTAGTATCCATCATCAAGTATTCGCACGCTTTCATGAATGCAAGATCTTCAACCGAACTCTTCAATTTTTGTACCTCGTCCTTCCTATTCGTCACAAGACTTCGAATTTCTTCAGGAGCGGGGGTTGAGTTGCTACTACTTGCTTTTGATTTTTCCTTTCTTTTTGTTGCCTTTTGACCCATGGGATGAACTTCGGGTTCACTCTTGTTCAGATCGAATCCCATATCTGGATTTGATGAAGTTGCGTATTTCCCGCTTTCACTAGTTTTTGACTTTTTGGAAGGACCCTCAGTTGGTTAACCATTTTCCACTTTGGATCATCTTTCAAAATCACCCATACATGCTCATATTTGAAATGTTGCCCATCCATGTTTTGATGGTAAAGTGCACGAGCACCTTGTTTCACTTTATCCTCATTCCCCCCGCTATGATGCTCTGTAGTTAACTTATTGTAATATTGATTGAATATATTTACTCGTCGAGTGATCCAATGCCAGTGTGATTTCGTTTGTTTTTCTCTTCTTTCTAGGCCAGACTTCTTGTTGAAGTATTCGGTAACCCAACGCCAAAATTTGGTTTCTTTTTGAGAATTACCCACTTTGGGATCATTTGATATAGTGAGCCAAGCTCTTGCAAGCACATCATCATCTTCTAAACTCCAACTTTGACTTTCTTGTCTCTCTTCATTGGAATCCACGACGTTGCTAGCGTTGACAATATTTGCAAAGTTTGGTTGTGTTAAAAATGCCGGAATTTGAGTGCCTGACATAGATGATCCCGGAGTTGTATTTTCTTACTAGAATCAAGATTATTATATCCCGACAAAGGCTGGCTTCCTATTGCCAGATTCATATATCCCGGCATTGGAAACATAGAGAATTGGTATGCAAAATTTGGTTGAGAATTTGAAAAATTCAGTGAAGGGTTTTGAAAATTTAGCAATGGTTTTGGAGATTTAGGGGTGGATTTTGAAAATTTAGTGGAGAATTTGGAAATTCGGGTGATAAATTTTGAAAATTGGATGGATGAATAGAACTAGAAAAATGTGAAGGATATCCATAATTTTGGATATTTTGCTGAAAATCGTATCCATAATTTGGATTTTGTTGTGACAAGGAAGGATTTCCAAAATTTGTAGGCCTAAATAAGTTTCTAAAACTATTATTTTCACTCATGATATTAAGCACAAATTGAAAAGAGAAATTGACAAATCACAAATGAGTGAATGAAATGCAGCTGAAAATTTCGATTTTAGGTGTAAGGCAAAAAAATTTCTGAACTATTTATAGATAGAAAAAATCCACCGTTACATTTTACTGCTTAAAAAAACTTCAAAATAAAAGAGGATATAAATCTGAAATTATAGCCGTTAATGAATAATGGCCATCACTTTTTTTCTTTTTGTCATGGACCACCCTTGTTGATGTCCCCATCTGTCATAAAATTTGACCATTTTGGAGTTTGTCTGCACTATTCGGTGTAGCTTCTGAACACCCACTCCAATGGTTAGCCCACTAAAAAGGTGGTGTGGTGCATAGTTTTCAAAATTTCGATCCGAATCTTAGAATCTTATGATTCTGTGATCCGAAATTAGGAAATCGATCTTGAATCTTATGAAATTCTTCTTTGTAGTGGGATTTTATGGAATCTTTCAAAATCCCAATCCGGATAGTAGGATCCAACGATCCCACTGATTTTGTCGATACTCTTACAACTTATTGATTTTGTATAAAAAGAGTGAGAAATGATTAGAAAAGATATAAAAGTTAAAATTTTGAGTTAATGATACGTATGTAGGTACTAGTCTACTTCTCCTCCATAAAATCAAACAAGAATTGAACTAACAAATTAAAACTCGCAATTTCAGAATTATTATAATATTTTAAATGGTTACGATCCCACCGATCCAGAATTCGATCCGATCTTGAGACGCCAAAACGATCCTGTGTGAAATCCCAATTTTGAAAACATTGGTGTGGTGCCATTGTGATTGCTCTAAAAATAAATTTTTTTTAAAAAAACTCAAAAATCATATAAATTGCCCAAAAATCCAATAAAGGCCCAGGAAGGGCCCAAAAAGGCCCAAAACAACTGACTTTTGAATTGAGGGTGAGAAAATCTAAAATCACAATAAATGAGCTGATAATAATCCGACCCGTCTTCTTTGCCGCCATTCTCTTTTCTAAAATTGCATTATTGCATCATATGATTCAGGTGGATTCAGGCCACCGGAGCTGAAGATGAGCAACGCCGGCGTAGAGACGCTGCCGAAGAAGGAAGTAAACATTCTCAAAGGGCACGAAGGCGCAGTTTTAGCAGCTAGGTTTAACAGCAACGGGGAGTATTGTCTGAGCTGCGGCAAAGATCGCACCATCCGCCTCTGGAATCCCCACCGTGGAATCCCCATCAAAACCTACAAATCCCACGGCCGCGAAGTCCGCGACGTCCACGTCAGCCCGTAATTCATCCTTACTACTATTCGTTTCTCAATACCATAAATGTGTTAGCATTTTTTGGTGGTGTTTACAAATTTATAGCTGTCAGTTTGTTTGATTTTAGGGTTTATTTTCCAATATTTGTTGTTTTGCTTAATTTTATCATCTGTGAACGTGTTATTTTACAAGTTAACACATACGATCAGTAGAGCTTGTGTTTTACAAACCGAAAATACTGGATTTTCAACTATTTGGTTATGCTAGATAAGGGATTCATAGAGTTCATGTTAGTAGCAATAGATTATTTAATTGATATTGTTCGTATTTCCTGTCGTCTTTGTTGCAGGGATAACTCCAAGATAATCTCTTGTGGTGGTGATAGACAGATCTTCTACTGGGATGTAGCAAGTGGGAGGGTGATCAGAAAATTCCGTGGGCATGACAGTGAGGTAAATCAGCAGTTCCACTACTTCACATAGAGTTAATTTGAAAGCCCATATTGTGGTAATAGTACGTACTGTCTTCTCTGCAAATTCTCCCGTTAGCATCTTAAGAAAGTTTTTTAGAACACTCTGGCTTTTTCTCTGAAGTTAGTTCTGGAATAGATGGATTTGTTTCTTAAAAGAGATTTAGGGTACCTCATTATTTTGCATGATGTTGTTTTTCAGTCTTTAAAAGAGTGATGTGGGTTGGAACCATGAACTCTGCAGTAGCTTTATCTAAGAACGTTATGAAACAATTTGTTAGCTTTTTCAGCATGGCCATTTCTTAATATTTATTCCCACTTACTCTCATTTGGTTTACTTTTGAACTTATTTACTTGAGCTTTTTTACCTCGTTCCTTAGGTCAAAAGTGCAGTACTTTACTCACCATAGCCTACTAGTGTCCAAATCCTTCATGGATCTGCAAAATTGCGTGAGAATTTGGTTTTGGTTTGACAATAAGATCTCTCCTTCAGTCATTTTCATTTTATAGTTCAGCAGTGTATCGTTTTAATCCAAAGATTATAAGGAATTGCTGCTTTGTATGGATATAAATTGTTATTTGAGTTCTAGAAGTACAGACAACAAACATGTTGACGCCATTAACTTATTTAAATCATTGTAAGTTAGGATTTTGCATATGAATCCCAATTCTGAGAAGGTTGATCTGTAAATTGCCCAAATCTGTAAATTTTACAGGTAAATGCTGTGAAGTTTAATGAGTATGCATCTGCAGTAGTATCAGCAGGATATGATCGCTCCGTGCGTGCTTGGGACTGTAGATCACAAAGTACTGAGCCTATTCAGGTAGGTTTCTTTTGTGAAAAACATTGCAGTTACGTATTTCGGGAGTAAAATCATTTTCCAGATGAATAAGGGAATATTCGGTTTAATTTCCTGAAGAAAGTGGAAAAGGTTGGTTAACATTTTCCGGTTGAATAGCTATTCTTAGCTGAAAGCAGCTGAGGACCCTTTTGAGGATTCGCCTGATCATCCATGAAAGATGCATGCTCTGACTACTGGAATGGAGAGAAGTTTAATTAGAAACTAATGAACATGAATGATTTTTTAATAAAATCTAATATTAATTGTGTGTGTTGACAGAGTACATTTCCAAGCCAGCCCCGCATAGTTAGATAAAGGCTTTTGCTTTTGATATTTTTTTTTTACGTGGGAAATGTCTGTCTCATTTTTCTTTCTTCAATCTGTGGTGTTAGTTACCTAAACTTAGAAATTTTTTATCTGGCAGATCATCAGTACATTCTCTGATAGTGTCATGTCTGTTTGCTTGACGAAAACCGAGATAATTGCTGGAAGTGTTGATGGAACTGTTCGAACATTTGACATCCGAATGGGTAGGTAAGAACTTAACCATCTCCAATAGTTGTATTATCTGGCTGCTGTTCCACTCTTTTTCTCATCTTCATTTTTTCCACCTTGTCTTCCCTTTTTAAATCTGATTTGCAAATGTGTGTTTGTTTATCAGCAAGTCATTAATTGCCTGTTCGTTAAACTGTAGGGAAATTTCTGACAATCTCTGGCAGCCAGTCAACTGTATTTCTCTCTCAAACGACGGTAACTGTATCTTAGCAAGTTGTTTGGATTCTGGTATACGACTATTGGACAGGTAATGGGGTTCTTTTTCTGTCACTTCTTTCCCTTTGATTTCCGTCGTTAGTTACGTTGTGTATGTTCCTTTGTGGGGGCAACAGATCCAGTGGTGAAGTCTTACAAGAATACAGAGGCCACATTTGTAAGGTTAGTGTGAGAACCTCATGTTTCTTGATATTCAAATTGGTACCCTCCATCTTGTACAAGCTACACTTTGATAGGGTTTTTTCCCCCAATTTTTCAAGTAGATTGAATCATGGCTAACAGTAGCATAAGAAAAGAGATTTTGCCTATGCAGGCCTGCGGAAGATTAGATGGTTGTAGGATACTACCCTTACCTTTGGTTGCTACGCGCCAATACTTGGGTAGAAGCCAAGTTAGGAAGGTGGGAAAATGTGGGATATTAACCTGATAACCATTAAATTGATGCTGGTAGCTGAATTCCTGAATCGATTCTGAGCTATAAACTGGAACATCACGAAGAAGATGGAATCCTCTTGCAAATTTTAATCTTTTTAATAATTTTTCAAAAACCATGCAACTCATTATGTGTTACTTCATCTTTTTCCCCAGGGCCTAAAAACTTTAGAAAGCTATTCGCAATATAGAATCAGCAAAGGCTTCATAATTTGTTTTAGTATTACATAGAGGGGATTAGCCTTGAATTACACTGACAGAGAAGTTTGGTAAACTTACATGGATTGCAAAATGATAATTTCAACTTCAAGAAGCGAAAACTTCCCTAAAGCTATTTAACCACTAAATATATTTAAAAGGTAGATATAAAATATGTAACACGTGTCCCTCAACTTGAAAATTAATTATCGAAAGACCTTTTCATTGCTGTCTACATTATTTCTTCCTGATATATGAAAAATCAACCTGACGTGTTTATTGATTGGAGTTAAAAACTATATTAAGGTCAGATTTCTTTCTGTGATTAGTAAGAAAAAGCTTAGAAAATTGCACCTTGCTTCACTTCTGCCTGAACAATAGTTAGGATTGATAAATTGATTATTTTGAGGGTCAAATGGAGTTGATCTTTTTAAACAGTTGATATGGAAACATCTCCAGCTTTGCCCTTAATGTGCTCAGCCTTTGACTTTACAAATGTTCCACTTTGGATCATCGGTCTTTTATTATCATCAGGCATAGTCCCGGGAATCCCTGCCAAATATAGTGGTGATTAAATTAATTTGGAATAGGTAAAGGAAGTGTAATAACCAGGTTATTTAAAGACTATACAACTAGTGTCTTTATTGGCACCCGTTGGTTGACCCAGCGGAGGATTTGAAGTTCTTCAACTGCTGCTTGTATGGTTTTCAAGTTTCGCTCGATGCCTTAATGCAATCAAGTTTCTTATCTTCAGAAGCAATTTTCCTTGGGAGCAAGCACCATCTTCCTCAGTTACCTTGCAATTTTTTGGTGATGAGGGAGCAGATTTTCAGCTCTGATACCAAACTCCTGTCAAGAGTAAAAGTGAAAAATGAAACAGATAATAAGAGGAAATTTAAGGAGAAAGCTGAAGGATTTAGTAATCAGACCTGAATTGTTCGATGATATTACTCCCTGTCAGCAGTGATTAGAGTAGTTGACCCTGTAACTTAACTTTGGGGCATACTTTAGAAGGTTTATTAGTGTATACCACGATGACCTTAATCTGTCCTACTTGTGGGGTAGAAGCAATCACCAAATTGAATATTCTGTTAATATAAACCCTGTATTGGTTTTCTGCAACAGATAATGCTAGTGCTTTCTGTACAAGCTTCTTCCTTTTCTCGATCTTGTTTTGCGCAGATTCATTATGTATCATATTTCTGTCTTAAAAATTTCTATTAATTTTTTCCTGTCTCAGGCTTTTAAAATGGATTGCTGCCTCACAAACACTGATGCTCATGTTACTGGCGGTTCTGAAGATGGCTTAATCTATTTCTGGGACTTGGTGGATGCATCTGTTGTATCGAGCTTCCGTGCTCACTCCTCAGTGGTAAGTTCCCATTGTCTATAGAGAATAGAGCACTATTAATTATTAATTATACACGGATGATGCTATTGTCTTCATTTCCTGACTCATCCTAGCCTAAATAGGCTTTATTGCTTTTAAAGACGTACTAATTCTATCTGTAACTTCACCAAGGATATTGATTCTTTAATACTGGATAAGAACCTGCATTGGCTCGTAATGTTCTTATATTCTTCTTACATTCTTCTTGATAAGATTCCTGTTCCGATAAAATCACAACTTCTTTGCTGGCTCTCCCTTATGAAATCTTTATTTCCATTTTTGTGGTAAAGACCCTTGATCTCTCTCTCCCTTGGTGTGTATTTCAGATTTTGTAAATAGGATAATAGTTTTGAACTCAAAATTAACAGTAGTCTTACCTTCTGGGTTGTCTCCAAGAAAGTTAAAGAATAATAGCCCTTCAATTTGTGTGATTGTTTTTCTAAACAACTTGCGAGAATCTTCGCCTCCATTATAACTGACAGGTGAATTTGATTATCATTTTTCCATATGTGTAGCTGCCATTGTCCCAAAAACAAAAAAAAAAAAAAAAACAAAAAAAAAAACACACAAAAACAAAAAAAAAAAAAATCACTTTTCTGTTAGATCAAGGTCATTTTTCCTCCAGAAACGATTATTATGATCATGAGCATCTAACTGTTAACACGGGATGCTCTTTTTCTGTGTACTTAAACTTTTGCTCGTTTCACATTGTTGGAGACTTGGAGTTGAGGGAAAGTTGGGAGCTATCACTTCGTACCATAAATCTGATAGTTTTTCAAATAAATCTGCTGACACTGAAAATTCTGATGGTTTTTGTTGGCAGGTGACGAGTGTAAGTTATCACCCAAAAGATAGCTGTATGATAACATCGTCTGTTGATGGAACAATCAAGGTTTGGAAAACCTGAACAGGGATAGCTCACTACTATCCATATTGTTACTGTTGCTCATCAGATTCATCAGGTGAGGTTTTGACGATAGTATAGTGCATGCATAAGTTGTTGTTCTTTTTGAAATCTACATGGTTCTCAACAGTAGAATCTACTGCTGTTAGAATATATTCATTCAGTTGCCTGAGTATAAGTTAGGTGATTTACTGCATGATGTGAGGTCCAGAAATCTATACTCCTATCCGTTTTTTATCCATGATAAACTAGCACCCTAAGGGAAATCAAGTCACACTAACTTGGTGGATCTTCCTCTTTTGCTTGCCGCTTCTTCCCACCCCTCCTTCCCCATTGCATTCATCCATATCCATTTTCGGTTTTGCATTCTTCGTTCTGTATCACGTGATCCCAATTGTCATCATGCAGTTTCTAAACGCAGGTCCATGAGAGGCTGCAACTCTGGTTTATATGCAAATTGTCCGTTACCTGAGAGGAAGAGATTGCTGGATTTTCTTAATAGTAACAGGATGAAAGATGGCACAAGCCAAGAACATTTTGGCATGTATTGTTTTCGTTGTTTTTCTTTTAATGCCGTTAGGTTATCACTTATAGTGTCCAACTTCCAGATCTAAACCTTTAATAAATTAACTCTTTAATCTAAGTCTCTTGTAATCTCTCTTCAGACTCGAAATAACTCTTTAATCTAAGTCTCTTCTAATCTCTCTTTAGACTCAAGTTGCCTTCTTAGCAAGTAGTATTGAGGTCATTCTTGCATTATTTTCCCAGTAAAGCTTAAGCTCAAAAGGGTTCTTACTGGAAAGTGGCCTTTTATGGCTGTTCTCCTTTTGTAATCTTTGGCACCAAGGTGGCTTATGATTAGAATGAGGACTTTGGATTCAGTGGTTTTATCAGCATTTCATTATTCTTAAACGTGTATAGCGGTCTTTCCATTTCAATATGATTTTCATGTTTGTTGTATCCAAAAATAAGATAACTACTTGGGAACGGATGGAGTAAGTGTTTTTGTTACTTTCTCTTAGAGTTTCATTCTTGGTCAATTGATTTTGAGTTGAATGTTAAACTTTATGAAGAAAAATGATTGAAAATGGATGGTGAAATGGACAGAGAACGAGGAGACAGGTTTGTCAAAATGGAGCAAGTTTTGTGGCGCCAGAAGACCATTCCCTCATTCCCCAATGCCCATCTCCTTAGCCAAAATAAAGCGAAGCACATGCATGGTCGAATCGTCAAATAAACCATTCACATGCAATCATGAATTTATGCAAAAAGTGAACTGAAATTAAAAATTGTTTTTTGCTTGGATCAATCGAAATTGACCTAGACCACACACACAGTCACACACTCTCATGGAGGGGGAGAGAGAGAGAGAGAAGGGGAGCCCGTGATCTCTTCAAAATTCTGGAGTGTTGTTGGCGGTGCAGTTTGCCAACCTTTTTTTGTATATCCTAATCCCACGCTAACGCAGCTCTTTGTCTGCTTCTGCTGCTGCTGATCTTTTGTTGCTATGTTGTCTTTCATTTTGGCCCTTTCCTCTTTCATTTGCTTAAAAAAATGATAAATGTGACATCGTCGACTGAATAGTTCAGTCAATGATTCAAACTGTAAGATTATGAACACAATTCTTATGGAAACGTTTGATGACTTTGACTGAACTATCGAGTTAATAAGATCATAGAAAACTGTAATAAGGTTGGATTAACTAATTTCTTCCTGCCAAAAATTTATTTTTAAAAATTAAAAAAAAAGAAGCAAATTTTCTTTCTTTTTTTTATCTAAATTAAGAAATCTTAAAACTTAGGGGGGTGGAGCATAAAAAAATGACTTTCACTAACTTGGGCCTACATTTTTGGGCTTTGTGCTGCCCTGTTAATTTTAAGCCTAGCTACTACATTTATGTAAACGTTTTATTCTTATTTTCTTGAGAAAGATTCTTGTTTGTACCATGGTTTGTTTTAGTTTTTGGTTTAATTTTTTATTTGAGTTTGAGATGTGATTTAAAATGTGATTTGAGAGAAAATTTAAAAAGTTCTTTGGGTAGTATTTTAAATAAAATAATAATTTTTTTACACCATTACCGGACCACCTCTATCACTGGCACCGTCGCCAGACCGCCTAGATTCTTGTCGAATTCCGACGAGTTGGTCGAAATTTGGCCAGAAACCGGCCGGTCACCGATCGGCGGCGATGGGCGGTCCGGCGGCGGACGGTGCTGGAGGACGGTGGTCCGGTGGTTTTATATTAAAATTGTATAAAAATAATGTTTGAAATAAATTTTAAAAAATAAATTAGAAAGTTGTTTGAATTGTATTGGATTTTGTGTTTGAGAGGTGTTTTAAGAGGTAAATGAGACAAAATCCAAAACAAAATGTTGACCAAACAAGCTTCATTAACAAATCCCAAAGAAAAAAACAGAATATTAATCTCGAAAAATATTTTTAGCTTACATAATTTTTATTTTAATTTCATCTATAGATACGGACAATATTTCTTTCTTACAAAAACTTTTTCCTCTCCAGGAAAAGCCCTCTCCATCCCCAGATGAAATCATAGGAAAACATCCACTGTGATTTTAAATCAACTTCAAAACCTTGGCCTTAGGCAACTATTTTATTTCTACATTTGGGCTGAGTTTTTTCAGCTATGGAAAAAAAAAATCAAATTATTGAAAAAATTTTAAATTTGTAGAAAGTGTATTTTCTTTCTGAAAAATAGCTATTTTGAATATAATTAAAATGGTGTTGCTTTTGAATAATAAAACACAAATCTATAGTACTTAATTAAAGCAGCATACAAGCTGCTAATGTGTCACAACACAATGAAAATTTCTCCTCCCCCCAAGTCTATTTTCAGTACAAAATCATTTTGACATGTGGCCCTCTAACTATTCAAAAAAAAAAAAGATGGAATAAATTCAAAAAAATTCCCTTAATTAAAGCTACATACTAATTCCTTAATTATAGTTCACTTGAAAGTTAAAACAGCAACAATGAGTTGATAAAATCAAATGTCAAATAATCCCCTTAAATCATTTATTTGGATTAACTCAAACGTCAAATAAATAATTTGATTAAAAAGGTAAGTATGCCTCCCTTTTAGCAACGATAACGCGCATTGATTCAAATCCCTACAAATTAGACAAAGTCATTGTCATCAACTGGAAAACAATACGATCAAATCATCCACATATCACCCAAGGCAATTCATGTATTCATTAATTGAAAATCCAACTTAACCCATTCATAGCCATATTATGACCATAATAAAAAAAAAAATCAACAATCAAGAATCGGGAGAAGAAGTTACAATTACAGAGAGAGGCTCGATAGAAAAAATCGTAACTACGGGCCCTTATATTTTTCTGGTGGTTTGGAAATGAAGGTTAATAAAATACTGAATTGATTATATGCAAAAAGAGGAAGAAAATTTTAACTAGATTTTGATTCATATGAATATTAAATTTTGTACGGGCAATGCTTACTGTGTTAAAAACTTGATTTTTAGCCAACCTAAGAATTTTTCGTTTCTTGGCAATTCGTCAATAATTGATTTGGCCACTCAAATTACTCTGTCTTTGATATCCTTCGGGCTTTGTTATGCACTAAATAATATATTTATCTTATTAATATTAATAAAAAAGTACAAAATCATTTGAAATTCACTAGAACATGATAAAGTGTTAGTCGGCGGGAAATCGCCGGGTTGAGACACTACAGTTTTTGTAGAATGAGATGTTTTCTCGAGATAATAAAATTTTAATATTAACCAAGAAGTGAATGTTGAAAATTGTTTGGGCTAATCTCTTCGTTCGTTGGTTTTTTTTTCTTCAAATACATACTAATTTTTTAAACTGGGCTCCTGTAACGGTACAGATTAAGACTCTAAAAAATAATATATGATTGTGTTAAAACATATCCCCTGGGCAATGGTCCTTTACTATATTCCCATGCGATATTGTTATATTATATAAAAGAATATTTATTCTTTTTTGAAAACATTGTTTTCTTTATTTAACAAACGGTTACTCGAGCATTCGCCCGGGACAAGCATCTAGTTATCTATGAAAGTATTAGACCGATTTTGGTAAATCTGGTCCACATCAGTTGGGCCGATCGCAGCAACAATAATAGGAAGAGATAAAATCATTGAGCCCGTAATAATATTACCTAATTCTTAAAGAAGAAGAAGCGGCGGGCAATAATTCGAATTTGAGAAGGAATCGTCGAAATCACAGTCCTTATCGGAGAGGGATTTCGATTGCAACAGAAATCAGATTCTTAGTTCCTTTATAGCTTTTATCATTTATTTCCTTCGAGTTTTCATGTATTCTTTTACTTTTTAGTATTGATTCTTGCAAGTTCTTTGACATTTCTGGCTATTCATATCCAATTCATTTCTCATCAATTCAATAAAGCTGGCCTTGAGTGGCCGTTTTATTCATTTTCTTGAGATTATTCATTATTTCATCATCAAATATTTGAACTTTCAATCTTATTGCGAGTCGAAGGCATCGACGTTTCTGGACAATTTCAACGGTCGGATTCCAGATTTTAAGAATATCACACAATCGTTTGAAATTAGTTTGATCTGAGTCGGTTCGCACTTTCAAATATAATTTTGACTCCAACACAAAGTAACAAATGATTTGACCTAAGGGTCATTCTTATGAGTGTACCTTTGAGCACTTTCACACTAATGTGTAACGGTATTATAATTGGCCAAAAAGGCAAAAATATAAAAAAAAAATGATTGTCAAAGTGGGTGGGTCAATAATTTTTCAATTTTCATACTTCAAATGAAAAAGAAAAAGATCACCGCCACTACATATATCAAAAAGTTGAAAGATTTTTATTTCACAACACGTACTCTAACTCGAATTCAGATTGCTCTCGATTCATGCAGTACATTCGAATGTTGAACATATAAAATATATTTAAATTTTATAATGTTTCTCTCTCTCAGAATAATTACTATTATGTAATTTTTATTTTTAATATAATTTATATTATAAATAAAAATCAAAACTAAACAATCATGACACTAAAAGAACAAGTATTAAACAAGAGCCATCCCAATGTGCATTGGTCAATTTAGATTTTCTTAAGAGGAAAACACAGAGAAAAGACGCTCACACGTTGACCATTTGAGGTGAGGGGTTCGAGCAACGGTTATCAAAATAAGTCAAAAAAAGGAATTTTTGGTGTTCGTCCTCTTGGCCATGTGATGATGCTCCCCTTATTCTAGGGCGACAAAAATCGTTTTACTATTCGATGAAATTAACGGTTTGAGAATTAATTGAAATATACAAGAAATTAACAAGGTATTAGACTCACTTCTTCTTCTTCTTCTTCTTTTTTTCTTTTGAAAAACTCACTTTATCATATAAAAATTGATTTTATCTTACTTAATCCTTGTTTTGTATTTTTGCAGAGCCTCAACTAGCGTTTGTCTCCAAATAACAAGTGCTACGGTAGATAATATGGCAAATAAACGTTAGCTCGCTGGATCGTAATTAAATCTTTAAAATTTTATCTGAATTTTGCGATTTACTATCCCATGTTTGCTAGCCAACTACATCGATACAAACAAACATGAAAAAAAAAAAAAAAGCTTTACTCACATAAGGAGATTTATATTGCAATTATAAGAAGAGAAAAAAATATAAAAGGTTAAGTGACACTAGTTTATTTGATGCCTTAAGATAATTCTTTTCCTCTTTCAATGGAAGTCCCTAAAGGGAGATTTCTTTTCTACTTATTTTATCATTGTACTTCATCTGTTTTCAAATAATTATTTCTATTAATTTATTTTATACAAATATTAAATAATTATTTCAGAACAAAGAGACTCGTAGCATGTTTGATTAGCAAACAAGGGAGGGATATTACTTGAAGATACTAGAAACCAAATTTTTTCAGCTTGTTATTTCACTTTTTTTCTTCCTTTTTCTTCCCCTCTCCCTTTTGAGATTTAATGTTTGGTTTT